AAAACTCTTAGAATAAAACGTATGGGTAAATCTTCATGATTTCATATTTGGCAATAGATTTATAAATTTGATACCAGGGCAGCAAAAGGAAAAATAGATAAACGAAATTTCATCAAAATTAAACTTGGTGCAGCAAGAATATAATTAAGAATGTGAAATGACAACCAACAGAATGGGAGGAAATATTTTCATATTATGTATATGTAAGAGTTTAATGTTTTGAATACACAAACCATTCTAACAGCTTAAAAAGAAAAATAAAAGCAACTTAATTTAAATAGAAAATGTACTTGAATGGCATGTATCCAAAGAAGATATACAAATGAGTAATAATATATTATATTATTATACTATATATAATATTATATATATATTGAATAATAATAACATATTATTATTCAAGTTCAAAATCATTGGCCATTAAATACAAGTTAAAACCACAATGAGAGCTGAGCGCAATGGCTCACACCTATAATTCCAGCACTTAGGGAGGCCAAGATGGGCAGATCACCTGAGGTCAAGAGTTCGAGACCAGCCTGGCCAAATTGGTGAAAACCCATCTCTACCAAAAACATAAAAATTAACCAGGTGTGGTGGCACATCCCTGTAATTCCAGCTACTCTGGGGACTGAGTCAAAAGGATTGTGTAAACCCAGGAGGCAGAAGTTGCAGGGAGCTGAGATCGTGCCACTGCAATCCAGCCTGGGTGACAGAGTAAGACTCTGTCTCTAAATAAATAAATAAATAAAACCACAATGAGCTACCACTTTACATTCACTAGGATGGCTTCAATAAATACAGAAAATTACAAGTATTAGCAACTATGTGGAAAAATAGAAATCCCTCTACATTGCTGGAAGGAATATAAAATGCCACATTCACTGTAGAAAAGTTTGGCTCCTATACAAGAAAATAAACATAAAATTACCATTTGACCCAGCAATTCAGCTCCTGAGAATATATCCATGAATGATGAAAACATGCTCATAAAGACACACAAATGGTCAAAACAAGATTATCTATAAGAGCCAAAAGTTGGAAACAATGCAAATGTCCATAAACAGATGAATAACAAATTGTGAGATATGTGCGTGGAAAATAAAATATATTTCAGCGACAAAAAGAATGAAGTACTAATACACGTTGCAACTTAGATGAGCCTCCAAAACTTTATATGTGAAAGGACCCAGAAATAACAGGCTACATATGCTATGAGTCCTTTATATATCCATAGCGGGCAAATCCATGGAAACAGAAAGAAGATTAGAGGTCATTACATGATGGGGTGGAGGAATGGAGTGATAATTTAATGAATATGATATGTTTTTGTAGAGTGATAAAAACATTTTGAAACCAGAGAAAGCTGCACAACTTTGTGAATACATTAAATACCACTCAAGTGTACACTTTAAAATGGTTAATTATATATTGTGTGAATTTCACTTCAATTTAAGAAATGACATAATTCCCTGATCTACAGACTTAATGCAATCCTGTCAAAATCCCCATTGGCTCCTTTGAGAAAATTGACAAGTTTATTCTAAATTTCATATGAAGATTCAAGGGACCCAGAATAGTGAAAATGGTACTGAAAAAGAATAACAAAAGACTCACACGCCTTGATTTGATTTAATAACTTGGTATTAATGCAATACTACAGTAATTAAGATGGTGTACTATAGGGATTAGGAGAGACGTATAGATCAATGGAGTACAATTGAGAGCGCACACACACAAAAAAAACCTTCACACATTTATAGTCAATTGGATTTTGACAGGGTTGCCAAGACAATTCAATAGGGGAAAAAATAGCCTTTTCAACAATGGTGCAATAACAACAGGATTGATGTTTACACATCATCTGATAGACACCAAATTCCAACTGTTATCTGTACAAATCATTTTAGTTTACACTCAATGAAGGCTTCCCTTCCCTCTTCCATCCACCTACTCTTTTCCATCACCCACCTCTGCACCTCCATGTAGAGCATTCTGATCCATCTGAAACCCTCCTCTGACTCTCACTGCAAATATTTTATGGCCTATTTCAATTTGCAGGAATCCAGGAAACCCACCTAGGTTAAGCCATTCTTTCCCATTCTCAAATAAACTGTGTGCAATAATGATGCTCATCTTCATCATATGGCATATTTTATATTTTCATATTTGTCGGTAATTGATTCCATTTCACCTGAAATATGCATTCTGTTTCTTCTTGGGTAGATTTATACATATATATTTTTTAAGTTCTGGGATACATGTGCAGAAGGTGCAAATTTGTTACATAGGTATACATGTGCCATGGTGGTTTGCTGCACCCATCTTGGCCCCAGCGTTGATGCTCCCCTCCATGTGTCCATGTGTTCTCATTGTTCAACTCCCACTTATAAGTGGGAGCATACAATGTTTGGTTTTCTGTTCCTGTGTTAGTTTGCTGAGGATGATGGTTTCCAGCTTCATCCATATCCCTACAGAGGACATGAACTCATCCTTTTTTATGGCAGCACAGTATTCCACAGTGTATATGTGCCACATTTTCTTTATCCAGTCTGTCATTCATCAGCATTTGGGTTGGTCCCAAGTCTTTGCTATTGTGAATAGTGCTGCAATAAACATATGTGCACCTGTGTCTTTATAGTAGGATGATTTATAGTCCTTTGCTATAGTATAGCTGAATATGAAATTCCGGATTGAAAATTCTTTAAGAATGTTGAATATTGGCTCCCACTCTCTTCTGGCTTATACTGTTTCTGCAAAAAGATCTGCTGTTAGTTTTATGGACTTCCTTTGTCTTAGGGTTGCTCTTCTCAAGGAGTATCTTTGTGGTCTTCTCTTTATTTCCTAAATTTGAATGTTGGCCTGTCTTGCTAGGTTAAAGAAGTTATTCTGGATAGTATCCTGAAGAGTGTTTTCTAACTTGGTTCCATTCTCCCCATCACATTTAGGTACACCAATCAAACGTAGGTTTGGTCTTTTTACATAATCCCATATTTCTTGGAGGCTTTGTTTGTTCCTTTTCATTCTTTTTTCTCTAATCTTGTCCTTGCATTTTATTTCATTAGGTTGATCTTCAATCTCTGATATCCTTTCTTCTGCTTGATCAATTTGGCTATTGATACTTGTGTATGCTTTACAAAGTTCTTGTGCTGTTTTTTTTTGGTTCCTTCAAGTCATTTATGCTCTTCTCTAAACTAGTTATTCTAATTAGCAACTTGTGTAACCTTTTTTAAGGTTCTTAGCTCCCTTGCATTAGGTTAGAACATGGTCCTTTAGCTCGGTGAGGTTGTTATTACCCACCTTCTGAAGGCTATTTCTGTCAATTCATTAAACTCATTCTCCATCCAATTTGTTCCCTTGCTGGAGAGGAGTTGTGATCCTTTAGAGGAGAAGCAGCATTCTGGTTTTTGTAATTTTCAGCCTTTTTGCACTTTTTTTTTTTTTTTCCTCATCTTCATGGATTTATCTACCTTTAGTCTTTGATGCTGGTGACCTTTGGATGGGGTTTTCGTGTGGATGTCCCTTTGGTTGATATTAATGCTATTCCTTTCTGTTTGTTAGCTTTCCTTCTAACAGTCAGGCCCCTCTGCTGCAGGTCTGCTGGAGTTTGCTGGAGGTCTCCTCCAGACCCTATTTGTCTGGGTATTCCCAGAAGCGGCTGCAGCCCTGCAAAGATTGTTTCCTGTTCCTTCTTCTGGAAGCCTTATCCCAGATGGGCACCCGCCAGATGCCAGCCAGATGGAGCTCTCCTATATGAGGTCTGTCAACTTCTGCTGGGAGTTGTCTGCCAGTCATGAGGCATGGGGGTGAGGGGCCCACTTGAGGAGGCAGTCTGTCCTTTAGTAGTGCTCGAGTGCTTTGAAGGGAGATCTACTCTCTTCAGTGCCAGCAGGCAGGAACATTGAAGCCTGCTGAAGCTGCATGCACAGCCGTCCCTTCCCCTAGGTGCTTTTTTCCCAGGGAGATGGGAGTTTTATCTATAAGCCCCTGACGGGCTGCTGCCTTTCTTTTAGAGATGCCCACCCAGAGAGGAAGAATCTGGACAGACAGTCTGGTTACAGCAGCTTTTTGGAGCTGCAGTAGGCTCCACCCAGTTCAGACTTCCTAGTGGCTTTGTTTACATTGTGAGGGGAAAACTGCCTACTCAAGCCTCAGTAATGTCGCACGCCCCTCTCCCCACTAAGCCCAAATGTCCCAGGTCAATTTCAGACTACCGTGTTGGCAGTAAGAATCAAGCCAGTGGAGCTTGCTGGGCTCTGTGGGGGTGAAATCCACTGAGCCAGACCACTTGGCTCCCTAGCTTCAGCCCTCTTCCCAAGGCAGTGAACAGTTTTGTCACGCTGGTGTTCCTGGTGCCCCTGAGGTATGAAAAAAAAAAATTTCTGCAGCTAGCTCTGTCTGCCCAAACAGCCCCCCAGTTTTGTGCTGGGCCCTTGTGGTATAGGCACCTGATGGACTCTCCTGGTCTGCAGGCTGTGAAGACCGTGGGAAGAGCGTAGTATCTGGGCTAGAATGCACCATTCCTCATGGCAGGGTCCCTCACAGCTTCCCTTGGCTAGGGGAGGGAGTTCCTTGACCCTTTGCCCTTCCTGGGTGAGGCGAGGCCCCACGCTGCTTTGTCTCACCCTCCATGGGCTGCACTAACTGTCTAACCAGTCCCAATGAGATCAGCCACGTACATCAGTTGGAAATGCAGAAATCACCCACCTTCTGCATTGATCTCGCTCGGTGCTGCAGACCAGAGCTGTTCCTATTCGGCCATCTTTATTGTTTGGACAGATTATTTTTATTTAAACAATTTAGTCTACATATTCTAATTATTTAACAATCTAATTTTATATTTTCCATTATGCTTACTGGATATTCATTCATACAATAACAACTTAAAGTGCTTCTCAAGCATTACTGTTTGACCAGTTAAACATCCCGAGTAAACACAGAGCAAGTCAATGAATCACAGATTCACAAGCAGTCACATAACTAAGCTTTTGTTAACATTTTACCTTCTCCATTTTGATCAGGAAGCAATCAATAAAGTCCCGAGGGTTGTTCATGTCCATCGATTCTTGGTGTTCTTTTACTTTCTCCAAAATATAACTTTTCACAAAAGCAATGTTTTTAAGTAATTTGTTATGAGTTCCCGGGAAATAATCAATGATAGGAGAAAAATTGTTGTAGATCTAAGAGAAAACAATAATTTATTAAATTAAAAGATTTTAATAAAGGCATATATACCACATACCAAGCTCTGGTTGTAAATTACAGTTATAAATATAAATAAAATATATCATATATCTTGATGGGAAAATTTTTATTGTACATATGTAGTAATTATCTGATTATAAAAGATTTGAGGAAGAAAATTCTGACCAGAGAATCAATTCTAACCCAATGATAAACATTTTCTAGACTCATACCTCCTTTTTATTGTATAAAAGCATCTTCATATTAATTGTTACCTTTTACAATTCTTCTCTACAATCTTGAAATATAAGATGGCATGAATTACCACATTCACGTTTTGTAGACGACAGCATAGGTTAAGAGAGTTTGGACAACCTGATTGATAGTACAAAGGTAGTCCCTACTATATTGATTTCTATCAAGCAGCCTCTGAAATGGAATTAGTATTTTAGAAGTAGGAGGGGCTCAAATATACTTCAAATTCCAACTGTGTACCACAGCAGTTAAATGACTTCTGTAAAATCACACAATTATTATTTAGGCAGAGTATAAAACATGCCAATTCAGCACAGAGTATAAGTATGATGTCTGTTTATGGTTCATAGACCATAAAACCAGTAATTTCATCATTCCTAACCCAGCTATCTCATCAGCTAGAATCCCAAACTGAGATATCAAACATCCCTGCCCTATTCATGTTTCTCGGCAGCTTCTATGGTCCCAAATATTCTCCCTTCTTGAAGGAGATGTCTTTCAAATTAGGATATTTCTGCCACACAATATGACAAAGTGTGAATTGAAGAACAAGTCTTGTGAGTAATGGAAGCCTCCAAAGTGCCTGGATGTCCATGGAGTGATATGAGCACGCTTTGGGGCTGTCACCAAAGTGCTTTATAGAAACAGGGCTTTGGAGTTTAGTGGAAGAAACATTGATAAGGGAGCTAATGGGCTTAGAAGTCAGGCCTATATTGGGACATTTATTTTCCATGCATAAAATAAAGGACTTGGCCATCTTTCCCAGATATTCACCCCATCGTTGTCTGGGCAACACTGTAGTATTCAAAAATGCACTTCAGAGCTTGATCCATATAGAATTTTGGATTTGTCAGAAAAAAAGAGCATAAGTGGTTTATCAGGAAGTAAAAATCTTGGCCTTACCTGGATCCAGGGGCTGCTCAAAATCTTGGCGTTTTCGTTAAACTTTTCCATCAAGTTAAGAAATTGCTGATCTTTATAATCAAAACGTTTATGGAAAATAATGGAGCAGATCACATTGCAAGGAGCACAGCCCAGGATGAAAGTGGGATCACAGGGTGAGGCTAAAGAATTAGAAACAATTTAAAACACTATTAAACCTCAGATATAAAATGCTTTGTATTTGTTAACAGATAATAGTACTTTAGAAATTTTAAGCAATATCTTACCTATGAATTCCCTTAACAGCAAAAAAGAGTTCGGCATGCATAAAATCAACATAGCACTTTTACATTAATCCCGAGTTGACCATTACAACCTAGCTGGTTAAATAACGGTTGTTCAAATGATAAATTTACATTGCCAGCCTATTTGTCTTTTACTTTGGGGGAAAAAAAAGACATTTTCTAAAAACCTAACAATTCACATTTCAGAGGGAATCACATCAGTCTGCAAAGTCTGTAGACAACAAGGCACTGAGATAGAAAGGGCAAGAATAGTTGAGGATTTTAAAACTTTTTATATATAATGAATAGCTGAAAGAGTCATGTGTTGAACCAGTAGAGAGGAACTACAGAGACTGTGGGTGAATTCATGTATTTAAGGAAATAAATGTAAGAAGCAAAATGTGTTTTATAAGAAGGAAAACAAATGTAAATGAATAATATGCCTAACATAGATCAGTTTGTAAAAATTTAAATGAAAACTTTGTTGTTTGTTTTTATTTATTATTTGTTTGTTTTGAGATGGAGTTTCATTCTTGTTGCCCACGCTGCAGTGGAATGGCATGATCTCAGCTCACCACAACCTCTGACTCCTGGGTTCAAGCAATTCTCCACCTCAGCTTCAGAGGTAGCTGGGATTACAGGCATGTGCCACCATGTCCGGCTAATTTTGTATTTTAGTAGAGACGGGTTCCTCCATGTTGGTCAGGCTGTTCTCGAAATGCCAACCTCAGGTGATCTGCCCACTTTGGTCTCCCAAAGTGTTGGGATTACAGCCATGAGCCACAGCACCTGGCCAAAAAGTTTTTATTTTAAATATAAATCCCAGGTAAGGCAAATAAGAAAGTGTAAATTGAAAAATGGAGTTTTTTCTTCTGTAGCTTTTTAAAAATGAATTTCCTTATGTAGGAACTAAATGCCCACCATCTGTAGTCATCTGCAAATTTAACTTATTTAATTTGATATTGATTAGGCCCAGCCCATCATTTAATAGCTAAATAAATTAAATTATAGGTAAGGTTTTCTTGTTTGGTGGAGGATCTCTGAAATAAAGTTGTTATAATCAAGTGATTGATAAAGTTTATATTTTTTAAATTTTCTTTTGTTTTGCTTTAAGTTCTAGGATACATGTGCAGAACGTGCAGGTTTGTTACATAGGTATACATGTGCCATGGTGGTTTGCTGCACCTATGAACCTGTCATCGAGGTTTTAAGCATCTCATGCATTAGGTATTTGTCCTAATGCTCTCCCTTTCTGGCCTCCCATCCCCTGACAGGCCCCAGTGTGTGATGTACCCCTCCCTGTGTCCATGTGTTCTCATTGTTCAGCTCCCATTTATGAGTGTGAACTTGTGGTGTTTGGTTTTCTGTTCCTGTGTTAGTTTGCTGAGGATGATGATTTGCAGCTTCACCCATGTCCCTGCAAAAGACATGAACTCATCCTTTTTTATGGCCACATAGTATTCCATGGTGTATATGTGCCACGTTTTCTTTATCCAGTCCATCATTGATGGGCATTTGGATTAGTTCCAAGTCTTTACCATTGTGAACGGTGCCACAATAAACATACATGTGCATGTGTCATTAGAGTAGAAAGGTTTATAATCCCTTGGGCATATACCCAGTAATGGGAATTCTGAGTCAAATTGAATTTCTAGTTCTAGATCCTTGAGGAATCACCACACTGTCTTCCACAATGATTGAACTAATTTACATTCCTACCAACAGTGTAAAAGTGTTTGTTTCTCAACATTATCACCAACATCTGTTGTTTCCTGACTTACTAAGGATCACCATTCTAACCTGCATAAGATGGTATCTCATTGTAGTTTTGATTTGCATTCTGTAACGACCAGTGATGATAAGCTTTTTTTTGTACATTTCTTGGCTCCATGAATGTCTTCTTTTGATAAATATCTGTTCATAAACATTGTCCACTTTTTGATGGGGGTATTTCTTTTTTTCTTGTAAGTTTGTTTAAGTTCCTTGTGGATGCTGGATATTAGCCCTTTGTCAGATGGATAGATTGCAAATAATTTCTCCCATTCTGTAGGTTACCTGTTCACTCTGATGATAGTTTCTTTTGCTGTGCAGAAGCTCTTTAGTTTAATGAGATGCCATTTGTCAATTTTGGCTTTTGCTGCCATTGCTTTCGGTGTTTTAGTCACAAACTCTTTGCCCCTGCCTATGTCCTGAAAGGTATTGCCTAGGTTTTCTTCTGGGGTTTTTATGGTTTTAGGTTTTATGCTTAAGTTTTTAATCCACCTTGAGTTAATTTTTGTATAAGGTGTAAGGAAGGGGTCCAGCTTCTGTTTTCTGCATATGGCTAGCCAGTTTTCCCAACACCATTTATTAAATAGGGAATCTTTTCCCCATTGCTTGTTTTTGTCAGGTTTGTCAAAGATCAGATGATTGTGGATGTGTGGTAGTATTTCTGAGGCCTCTGTTCTGTTCCATTGGACTACATATCTGTTTTGGTATCAGTACTATGCTGTTTTGGTTCCTGTAGCCTTGTAGTATTGTTTGAAGTCAGGTAGAATGATGCCTCCAGCTTTGTTCTTTTTGCTTACAATTGTCTTAGCTATACAGGCTCTTTTTTGGCTTCATATGAAATTAAAAGTAGTCTTTTCTAGTTCTGTGAAGAAAGTCAATGATAACTTGATAGATATATCATTGAATCTATGAATTACTTTGGGCAGTATGGCCATTTTCACAATATTAATTCTTCCTATTCGTGAGCATAGAATTTTTTTCCATTTGCATCATCTCTTTATTTCCTTGAGCCGTGGTTTATAGTTCTCCTTGAAGAGGTCCTTCACATCCCTTGTAAATTGTATTCCTAGGCATTTCATTCTCTTTGTAGCAATTGTGAATGGGAGTTCACTTATGATTTGGCTCTCTGCTTGTCTATTATTGGTGTGTAGAAATGCTGTGATTTTTGCACATTGATTTTGTATCCTGAGACTTTGCTGAAGTTGCTTATCAGCTTAAAGAGTTTTGGGGCTGATATGATGGGGTTTCTAAATATACAATCATGTCACCTGCAAACAGAGACAATTTGACTTCTCTTCCCATTTGAATACCCTCTTGCCTGATTGCTCTGTTCAGAACTTCCAATACTATGTTGAATAGGCGTGGTAAGAGAGGGCAACCTTGTCTTGTGCTGGTTTTCAAAGTGAATGCTTCCAGCTTTTGCCCATTCAAAATGATATTGGCTGTGGGTTTGTCATAAATAGCTCTTATTTTGGGATATTAAACTTTATATTTAAAGAGCTCCCAAATTCACATCTATGGGTCCTAAATAGTGACTTTATTCAATAGTACTCTGAATGGCTGGGCATCGAACAGCTGGAAATCTGTTAGTTTGTTGTGTCATTCACAGATAAATCTGATTTTCAGTCTTTCACTTCATTTGGAAAACAGAATTTAAAAACAAAGTAATTTGGTGTCGAGGCTGACAAACAGATACATTGTAAAACTTCATAGATGAGTAGAGATGGCAGTGGAAAAAATAATTACCATAAATTTCTAAGCCAAAATTTCATAAATATGGTGGGAAAAAGATAAGCATAACTGAAACAGAGCAAATTATACTTAGGGAAAATAGATTACAGAGTTACTACTAATAATTAAAATCTAGTTAAATAAATCATTTTGTAAATTGACATTTGTGTATTTCACAGAATTATGCTACAGCACATATTTACTGAAAATATATAAATCAAGAGTAACAAGAAATAATTAATACTATTTTTTAAATAATACCATGTTTACAGAGAAATAATAATTGATGAGAACTGCTGTAAGATATGCCTAAGCAAGCATGGGCCTAAAAGAAACCCCAGACAAGTCAGTGAGGCTGACCATACAAATACAGTCCAATTAAATAAAAGCACATGCCATTTGGTTCATGCTCCCTAGGGGTGTGATAGGGCCATTCCCACCATGTCTATTCTCTGGTGACTTGTTCTGGAATAGGTAATGGGAAAAACTGCTCTTTAACTCTTTAAAAAAATGAACTCAAAATCTATATTCATGATTTCTTATTTGAAAGCAAAGAAGCAAAATTCAGGAGAACACAGGATTAAATGAGCCTTTTATACCCGCAGTGTATGCACAATCATGTCTGTACACACACAGCACAAATATGTGCAAATTCCCTTGGCTCTCAGCCTCAAACTCCCACTTCACATGAGCTAACAAGTAGGACTCATAATGAAAGATATGGCCACCCCTGAAATGTTTCCAAGAATGTCAGTAGAGAAAATAGTAGTCCAGTAAGGTCAGTGATACAGAGTAGGTTCACCCACCCTTGGTTTTTCTCAACTCCTCCACAAGGCAGCGAGCTTCCTCTTGAACACGGTCCTCAATGCTCCTCTTCCCCATGCCAAAATTCCGCAGCGTCATGAGGGAGAAACGCCGGATCTCCTTCCATCTCTTTCCATTGCTGAAAACAAGTCCTAACAAGAAGAGAAACAGAAACTAGGAGGGAGATCCCAGGCAAGAAAGAGGAAGCTAACACTGGGCAGCCACGTGGATGGGCCAAGCTCTGCCTGAGAAGCTCTGCAAGTCTCTGTTTTCTTATCCTCCCCATCTCCAAGATGGACACTGAAACAGACACATGCACCTACCAAATCTTCTGTTAGCTCTTTCAAACAGTGGGAAATGGCCTCTTCCAGAAAACTCCTCTCCAAGATCAATCAGGGCTTCCTTCACCGCTTCATATCCATGCAGCACCACCATGCGTTCCAGGCCAAAATACAGAGTGAACACAGGGCCATAGACTTTTGAGAGCTAGGAAAGTAGATATAGATAATAGCAAATGCAGCAACTATTTCGTCCATTTACTAAGCCTCACTTAGAATGATATTTTCATTGTATTTGTATGCTTTTATTCAGCCACACAGGCTTCAGATATTTCTGAATTTTACATATAAACATGATGATGATTATATTTGCCACTCAGATGATCTGTGATGTTCAAGGCAATAGTCAGACAATTGCTGCACAGATTACAATTAATCCTCACATCAACATATTCAGCAGGTCTATTTACTCTATTTTAAACAAACAGCGATGTGTGGTGGCTCACACCTGTAATTTCAACACTTTTGGAGGCTGAGGCAGGTGGATCACAAGGTCGGGAGTTCAAGACCAGCCTGGCCAATGTGGTGAAACCTCTTCTCTACTGAAAATACAAAAATTAGCTGGGTATGGTGGCACATGCCTGTAATACCAGCTACTTGGGGGCCTGAGGCAGGAGAATTGCTTGAACGGGAACCCGGGAGATGGAGGTTGCAGCGAGCTGAGATCACACCACTGCACTCCCGCCAGAGCTACAGAGCAAGACTCTGTCTCAAAAATAAATAAATAAATAAATAAATAAAAACTGAGCTCAGAGAATGACAAGTTCATTTTCAGTGTCCTACAGCTAATATACAGAAGACCCAAATTTGAAACTCCATTTATTCAAATGCTAATGCTTGATATATTTATCAGCACTCTTGAGACCACCTTAAGACCAATACCCAGCTTCAAGAACTAGCAATTTCCTGGTTTAATAGCCTTTTATGAATAGCGTGCATCATAGCATTTATACTAAAAATATCTCTCTATGGACTCCACTTAGGACTCCCAAAAGCCCACATAGAGGCACCCATTGCCAGGTCAATAGTCCTCACAGCAGTACTCCTAAAATTAGGTGGCTATAGGATTATACGAATCATTTTAATCCCTCACCCCCAACAGAGCTTATAGCTTATTCCTCCCTCATACTATCCTTATGAGTTATAATCATAACAAGCTCCATTTGTCTGTGCCAAACTGATCTAAAATCACTCATCACTTACTCTTCCATAAGCCACATGGCACTTGTTATCATAGCTTTTCTCATTCAAATCTCCTGAAGTTTCAGCAGTGCAACTGTCCTAATAATTGTCCACAGACTAACCTCATCCCTATTATTCTGTCTTTCAAACTCAAACTACAAATGAGTTCACAGCCAAACCATACTACTAACACGGGACCTTCAAACACTTCTCTCCCTGATAGCCATGTGATGACTCCTAACTAGTCTTGCCAACCATGCCCTGCCCCCTACCATCAATCTAGTAGGAGTAGTCTTCATAACTATAGCCTCACTCTCTTGGTCTAATCATACCATCATGCTCATAAGGTTTAATACACTAATCACAGTCCTTTACTACCTGTGTATGCTAATTATTACACAACAAGGGGTATTCACATATCATATTAACACTGTTAAACCATCTTTCACTCGAGAAAAAACCCTAATACTTATACATCTTCTGACTCTCTTCCTACCATTACTAAACCCTAAGGTCATTTTGGGGTTTATACATTGTAGCTACAGTTTAATTAAAACATTAGTTTGTGGATCTAATAATGGAAGCCTGTAACTAATTATCTACCATTTATCTGCTTTTGCTGGTCCTGAATCCACAGCTATTTCCTTTACAACAGGCATAAATTAATTCTTCAGAGAAGTTCAGTTTTCATGGCTATTCTGAATAAAACACATGGCTAGTATAGTAGAGGACTTAATAAAATCTCTAACAACAAACACGTCCCTTACCATTTACCTTCAGCAAAATTTATAGCAAATGGCTATGAAATGAAGAAGAAACACAGCATTTCAAACTATTGACTTGTTATTTTGAATCTAACATGCAAAGACCCAAATCTTTCTCTACTCACAAAATACATGATTTCATTCCACTGTTTCTGACACTGACAGACTGGAAAAGGCAACAAAAGCCTTTCAAAGTATTTTACTTTACAATGATCTCTTGTAACAATGTACCTCAAGGGATATACTTTATTCAAAAAATACAGGTGAATTTACTTACCTTTTGCAAACCACTGAAGGAGCATACTTACATTGGTTAAGGATTTGCTGACATCCTTAATACCTATCTTTAGGATATTTCCAATGACTGGGAGAGGAGTGGGGCCAGGAGGGAGTTTTCCTTTTCCAGATCTCTGTCTCCAGAGTGAAAGGAGAAGCAAACAGGACAGACAGAGCACAAGGACCACAAGAGAATCCATTGAAGCCTTCTCTTCTTGTTAAGACCAACATGAGCTTGCACTCCAAGCCTTTTATAACACTCCATGCTAATTCAGTGTGTGCCTCTTTGACGAATAAAGTGACCAATCACCTAGGTCCACTACAGGCTCCTTCTGAAAGGACTTTGACCCACTGATAGAGATAAAAATAAAATGTCCTTTGATCTTGTTCTCCTTCATTTCAGTGCCCACTCTGTACATTCCTGTTTCATTGTACTAGGTTGGAGCCTAGGTATTGGTAATAAAAAACAAATGTTAACTCAGATGGTTCCAATGCACCATCACGATTGAAAGCACTGAAGTAAATAATCTGATGCAAAAACAATTACTCAAAATTCTGAATTCTTAGATTAATAACCAGTTGGGAACTTATGATTTTGAGGGAAAATGATGTATTCCATGCCTTGTGTATTTAAAAAGTATGTCAATGCTATACAAAGATTAGGAGACTTTGTTCTTTATAATGAAATCCTTTCAAATATTTAATATAGCCTACTAAAAATGCAGCAGCTTAAACATGAAATAGCTAGCATAACTTGTATATCTTAAATAACCAAACATATATCAAATAAATTAGTTTAGCAGATATAAACACCTTTACAATTAAACCTGCTAAAAAAAAAATACGTGAAGGCAGGAATTGTTACTTTTTATTTTTCAAATGGGAAAAGGGAGACCCTGGGAGAACAGGACATCTGTCGGTGCCACACAGATCATAGCTGGCAGAACTGGGATCTGAGCTGAGGTCTTCTGATGCCCATCATAGTGTATTGTCTCTTACACCAGAGCTGCCTTGAGAACAATTACAGCAAAACAAAACAAACTTCTAAACATTAGTTATTCTGAATATGCACCACATTGATTCTGCTCATAAAACAGGCTTCACATTAAATAGAACTCCTTATTTGTCTCTAACGAAAACAGCACCAGAGATGCTCATGAAAAGAAATAAGAGTTCTCCCTTCTCCATCACTGCAGAGGTGAAAAGCTCAGTGTAACTGAGGAAAGAATTTGGTGCTAAGGGTTTGAGAAACTTGGGCTTTTCTATCCCCCAGTCACCTCCAGACCTGGCTGCTTTCTATTGTTTTTGGTCTCTCACTTTCAGAAATAATGTAATAATGCACAGCAAGCAAAGGAAATTATGGACAGAACCACAGCTGTGGATGCAACAGAGGATGAGAGGTAGGAAAATCACTGAATGGATCCACAATACAGAACCACCACAATGTATAGACCTTAACAGGAGCTGACATATTGAGTTGAGGGTCTAAATACAACTAGAAAGATACACTTTACTAGATCACTAATGACAATACTTGTGCAAAGCCATTTTCTTTAACTATATCATCATATTTGTGCTAAATTCCCTAGTGGGTTTATTTCCATTTCTTTTATTGAGAAAAATAAAGTTATGTTAAGACACAGCTGCACCATGCTTTACTGGTCATTTTTAACATGGATTCTAACAATTTACAGAGAATTGTTATGCCTCATGTCCCTTTGGAATCTCTCAATTACCTTTGCTTACAATAAAATTGACCCATTTCAGGAATGAGGAAGCTGAGGCTTGAAGATTCAGTACCTTAACCAGGAACATGGTGTCTACCTTAGCCAGCACCATGTTCCATGTCTTATGGGACTAGAACCCATAAGCCCTGCATCTTGAAGGTTTCATTTCAAGCAAAACATTGAGTTCAATTGAGTCTACCAATATTTACTGATTGTGTACAATGATTCAGTATTTTGTGATTCAGTCTAGTAAATGATTTTCAAAATAAACATTAATTTCATCAATAATTGCAGCCCCAGTTGACTAGATTGAGAGGTCAGAAGAGTTTGGTTTTATAACCTTTAGTTCTTGGGTAAGTCAAAGGCCTTGGAGATCCCTTTACACAGGACAAAGAAAAGCAATAACTTTGTCCCTGACTCATGTAACCCTAAACTCTAACAGAAATATACTACCTTATTTTGGGTAAAATAAGCTCAGTTACTCTCTTTAGTATAATCATTTCATTCCTTCAGAGCTAGGTGTCCCAGCTCGGCTCCTTCTCTCTCCTACTGAGTTGAGGCTCCTGCCTAGATCTTTCAGTTTATAGAAAGAAAGAATTACAGATAATTTGTAGACAGAAGGGATCTCTGAAATCAACTAAACTTTGCTTTGTTTTTTTTTTAGAAATGAGCAATTGTTGACTCAGTGAGACAAAGTATCACAATGCGTCAGTATAAGACTTTTTATTTATTTATTTATTTATTTATTTATTGAGACGGAGTCTCGCTCTGTTGCCCAGGCTGGAGTGCAGTGGCACGATCTCTGCTTACTGCAAGCTCCACCTCCCGGGTTCCAATCATTCTCCTGCCTCAGCCTCCCGAGTAGCAGGGACTACAGGCACCCACCACGACGCTGGTCTAATTTTATTTTATTATTATTATACTTCATATTCTAGAGTACGTGTGCACAACGTGCAGGTTGGTTACATATATATACATGTGTCATGTTGGTGTGCTGCACCCATTAACTCGTCAATTACATTAGATATATCTCCTAATGCTATCCCTCATCCCTCCCCCGACCCCACAACAGGCCCCAGTGTGTGATGTTCCACTTTCTGTGTTGAAGTGTTCTCATTGTTCAATTCCCACCTTTGAGTGAGAACATGCGGTGTTTGATTTTCTGTTCTTGCCATAGTTTCCTATGAATGATGGTTTCCAGCTGAATCCATATCCCTACAAAGGACATGAACTCATCCTTTTTTATGGCTGCATAGTATTACATGGTGTATAGGTGCCACATTTTCTTAATCCAGTCTGTCACTGATGGACGTTTGGGTTGGTTCCAAGTCTTTGCTATTGTGAATAGTGCCGCAATAAACATACGTGTGCATGTGTCTTTATAGCAGCATGATTTATAGTCCTTTGGATATATACCCAGCAATGGGATGACTGGGTCAAATGGTATTTCTAGTTCTAGGTCCTTGAGGAATCGCCACACTGTCTTCCACAATGTTTGAACTAGTTTACAGTCCCACCAACAGTGTAAAAGTGTTCCTATTTCTCCAGATCCTCTCCAGCACGTGTTGTTTCCTGACTTTTTAATGATCACCATTCTAACTGGTGTGAGATGGTATCTCATTGTGGATTTGATTTGCATTTCTATGATGGCTAGTGATGATGAGCATTTTTTCGTGTGTCTGTTGGCTACATAAATGTCTTCTTTTGAGAAATGTCTGTTCATATCCTTTGCCTACTTTTTGATGGGGTTGTTTGTTTTTTTCTTGTAAATTTGTTTGAGTTCTTTGTAGGTTCTGGATATTAGCCCTTTGTCAGATGAGTAGATTGCAAAAATTTTCTCCCATTCTGTAGGTTGCCTGTTCACTCTGATGGTAGTTTCTTTTGCTGTGCAGAAGCTCTTTAGTTTAATTAGATCCCATTTGTCAATTTTAGCTTTTGTTGCCATTGCTTTTGGTGTTTTCGACATAAAGTCCTTGCCCATGCCTATGTCCTGAATGCTACTGCCTAGGTTTTCTTCAAGGGTTTTTATGGTTTTAGGTCTAACATTTAAGTCTCTAATCCATCTTGAATTAATTTTTGTATAAGGAGTAAGGAAGGGATCCAGTTTCAGCTTTCTACTTATGGCTAGCCAGTTTTCCCAGCACCATTTATTAAATAGGGAATCCTTTCCCCGTTTCTTGTTTTTGTCAGGTTTGTCAAAGATCAGATAGTTGTAAATGTGTGGTGTTATTTCTGAAGGCTCTGTTCTGTTCTATTGGTCTATATCTCTGTTTTGGTACCAGTACCATGCCATTTTGGTTACTGTAGCCTTATAGTATAGTTTGAAGTCAGGTTGTGTGATGCCTCCAGCTTTGTTTTTTTGGTTTAGGATTGTCTTGGCAATGCAGGCTCTTTTTTGGTTCCACATGAACTATTAGGACTTATTGTTTGAGAAATTAGGTTTTCTCTCTCAAAGAATAAAGATTTTAAACCTTTTTTTCCTCAAATGCCGAGACCAGCTGAGTCAAGGAAACCCTAAACCAGCAGCACTAGAGGAATTAAAGACACACACACAGAAATATAGAGGTTTGAAGTGGGAAATCAGGGGTCTCACAGCCTTCAGAGCTGAGATCCCTTAACAGAGATTTACCCACGAATTTATTAACAGCAAACTAGTCATTAGCATTGTTTCTATAGATATTAAATTAATTAGAATATCCCTTATGGGAAATGAAGGTATTGGCCAAATTAAAGGAATAGGTTGGGCTAGTTAACTGCAGCAGGAGCATGTCCTTAATGTACAGATTGTTCATGCTATTGTTTGTGGCTTAAGAATGCCTTTAAGCGGTTTTGCACACTGAATGGGCCAGGTGTTCCTTGCCCTCATTCCGGTAAACCCACAATCTTCCAGTGTGGGCATTAGGGCCATTATGAACGTGTTACAGTGCTGCAGAGATTTTGTTTATGGCCAGTTTGGGGGCTAGTTTATTGCCAGATTTTGGGGGGCTTGCTCCAAACATGTCCCCTTTCTTTGATTTGCAAATCAATAAAAGCAAAGACAGTTTTGTCACAGGTAGCTACTTCTCACAGGAGTCAGGATCTGCATTTGCAGACTATACAAAGATAAGCAACATAGATTAAAAGCACAATCATCATTGAAATCACAGAGCTTCCAAGTGTTTTTATTCATTTTAATGGGTTACTAGCTGCTAATTTGACTGCAGCTCCTTTAAGCACTCCAGTTCCTGGCATTAAGGACAGGTGTACCTGGGATGCTTTCAATATTTGTTCTTGTAATTTTGCTATATCCAAAAACAAGTTTGTAGAGTGTCCTTCTGGATGTTTTTTTATGCTTTCCCACATTTTGATCTTATTAAGAGCATTTAATAGTTTCTATAAATCCTTATGTTAAGCTCCTAGAGCAGGCCATATCATTTGAGGTTGAGGTGCCACAATACCGCCATGGTTTCAGATAATAGGAACTTTTGATGTATTCCTTATCATTTCTACCATCTGACCATTTTGTTCAGATCATCTGAACATAGTATGGCCGTGGCACACAGACTGAGAGGTGCAATTCAAGC